AAAAAAAAAAATACAAACATACACACACACACAGAGACACACACTTATACATAAATATATATATATATATATATAAAAAAAAAAGTACAGCCCAACGAAAGTTATTTGCTCGTAGAAGTAGAAGTATTTTTCGATAAGTGGAAATCAACTCGAGTACGCAAAAAAAGAGATGAATAGATCGAAAGGTGGAGGTGGGTGTAGGTGTGGGAAGGTGTAGGTGTAGGGAGGTGAAGGAGAGATGAAGGGAAAGAGAGAGAGAACTTCTCTTCAGTTTTTATTCATCAACATGTTGTTAGAAGTATTAAAAAAAAAAAAAAAAAAAGAAGAAGAAAAAAACAACTGGAAAAAAATAGCTGGCAGATAATTTTTCATTATTTGCAACGTTTCTTAAGAAAAAAATCGATATTAATTATCTACTTTCTTCATACCTCTTTCGAGGTTTTGGTAATACCTAGAACGAATGAACGAACGAATGAACGAACGAATGAACGAATGAACGAACGAACAAGTTATCGATTTTCTAACCTGCAACAAAAGCAGGATAGTAGAAGTATGATGAAGGGATGGTGGAGGAAGGGTTGGTTGGTTGGTTGGTTGGTTGGTTGGTTGGTTGGTTGAAGGGAGAGAATGCACCAGGATGAAGAAGAAGAAGAGAGCTGGGAGAAAGTTAAGTGAACCGTAACGATGAATTTTTCAATCAAGTAGATATGTGAGAAATGAAATGGAAGAATAAAGAAAAGAACAAAAAAAAAAAAAAAAGTGTATAATAAAAAAATATATATTAATGGTAGAATTTTAATTAAGTTATAGTCTTTCGTAATCCCATATTGTTAATCTGTTTTTTTTTTTTTTTTTAGATATCGAATGAACCAAATAACCCTTCAATTATTTTTCTATATTTATTTATTTATTTATTATTATTATTATTTAATTTAAATATTAACTATTGTAAAAAAATATTAATATTATTATCTTAACTTTAATATAATAATGATAATATATTATTAATTAAAAATATAAATAATTATTATAATTATTTAATATATATATAAATATATATATATAATTATATTTATATAGTATAATAATATTATATAATACTACTATAGTATTATACTAGTATTATAATAGTATATAATACTATACTAGTATTATATATAATATTATATAATACTAGTATAGTATTACATAATATTATATAATATTAGTATTATAATATTAGTATATACTATGTATATAATACTAGTTTATTTATATACTATATTATTTAATATAATACTAAATATATATAATTATATTTATATTGTATAATAATATTGTATAATACTACTATAGTATTATACTAGTATTTTAATAGTATATAATACTATACTAGTATTATATATAATATTATATAATATTAGTATTTAAATATTAGTTTTTATATATTACTAGTATAGTATTATATAATATTATATAATACTAGTATAGTATTAATACTATATTTAGTAATAAATACTAGTTAGTATTAATACTAGTATTGTATTATATAATATTATATAATATTAAATATATATACAAATATATTCCTCTTCCATAAAAAGACTAGTATTGTTTTTATTGAGTATTGAGAGTATTATTTATTTTTGTGTGTGTGTGTGTGTATAAAAATAATATTAAATTTTTGTTAGTTATTTAGTTGGAAAGTTAATCAGTTGTATGTTGGCCTATTGCATTCTGTAACTTGACTATGATTTGATATAACATAACAAAGTTTGTCTGGAATTTATAGCAACAGGCAATTCCTAGGAAAATCGTCACAGAGGAATAGAAGCACGCGTTGCCACTTCCCATGATGATGATATCCTATCTATCTATCTATCTATCTATCTATCTATCAATGCCCATTTGCTTATCGTGTCATATGCCAATTGTGACAGTTCACATATTCGTGATAGTACTATGCACGTGTATATACATATATGTGTTAGATATACGTTGAATGTATGAATGTATGAATGTATGAATGTATGTTTACATGTATGTATGCATGATCGATCGAGAAATGGAAATTCGAGCTTGTTTCAAATCGTTCGATTAAAATATATTCAAGGTCATCTACTATGTAATCCGTTTATCGATAATCATTTATGTTATTAACCTTTTTTCTAATGTGATTCATCTCTTATTTTAATATATTATATATATATATATATATGTAAATAGGATCAATTTTTATACGATTATTCATTTATTATTATTTTATTATTATTTATTAAAATGATTGGTTCTATCATAAAGTGAATTTTATATTTTATCCGATTAATTTTATTTTTGACTATATAACATTTATATATATATATATTTATTTATTTACACAGTTGCAATTTTGTTATTCGTAAATTCTTATGAATTATTTATTATTTCACAAATGAAAATGTTATTATTCTTATTATTCGTGATTTGTTTTTTTTTTTTTAACAATAAAAATTATTATTTTTCGATACTAATATAAGTAATTATTAATTAATTATAATTCATATTAATAATATTTCTATGAATAATTAAAAAGACACAAAAATAAATAAATAACAAAAAATAAGAGAGAATTAGTAATAATGATGGAAGTAAATTAATATAATGTGATAATGCATTAGTAATATACATAAATTATACTACAATTTAATAAGCAATTAGTATTATTATATGTAAATGAGAATTATGTATAATAATAATAATAATAATATAATAATAAATATAATATCGAACAGACAATTTGTATCGATCAAAATTATAATTGATAATTAATTAATTAATTTTTTTTCTCTTTTTTTACCTTTTTTATTTAACTAATAACATTTAAAAGATTAATTATATATATTGTTCGTTTGATAATATTATAAGAAAAATAAAAAAAATACTAATCATTATTTGCATTATGTGTGATAAGCTTAATGATAAGCTTAAAGCAACAGGCTACTTATACAACCTTTCTTTATTTCCTATCTTTTTTTTATCTGCAACCTAAATTTCTATTTTTAGATGGTCAAGTATCTATAGATAAATTTATTTAAGGAGAATCTAAAAAAAAAACAAAAAACACAAAATAGATAATAAAAGTATCGGATTATTCGGAAATTTTAATTTCGTTTTGTGTTTTTTTTTTGTTTTTTTTTTTTTTGTATTAAAATGAAAACTTTGGCCATTTAAGTGGTCATAAACAATTACATTTGATAAATTTAATCTAACGCGAAGTAGGTATATATACTAACAAGCCAGGCCGTATTTGCTCTCATTTTTTTTTTTTTTTTATTTGCCAATTTGCATCAACTAATGTTTTCATTTTGTCAGAAAAAAAAAAACGAAATTATATTCCGAACAACTCAATATAATCCAAAAAAATAAACAAAAGTTAATTATTAACACAATTAAAATTATAAACGTCATTATACAATAAGTAAACTCATTTGAAGTAATATACTGTAATAAAAAATAGAAAAAAAAAAATAGAAAAAAGTAGGTCCGTATATCTACGACATTTGTAAATATTCTTATATAGTGTATCTATAAATACACGTGTATGTCACTTTTACTTTAAGTCATACACAATGCATCAAAAAATGCATTCTATAGCAAGCAATTGTGCACAGACACACACTTTATAAGTATATTTGTTCATACCTTTGAAATTTATTTTACAAAATATAAAACAAACCATAATTATAAAAGTGATCTAAATCATGTATCTCTTGTTTCGAGATATTTCAAGATTTCTATTTGAACACCATATGAATTCTATATAATACTAGGGGTGCCCCCGCTACGCGTTGCTGTGGCTCTCACAATCAGTCCGATACACACGTCTCTTTAAATCAACGAATTACCTTATACCGCCATCTGTTAGAATGATATAAACTATCCTATCTTTCAAGTTGAATGACACTGCACACAGTGTACAAAATTTTATTCAAATCGGTTCAGTAGTTTAGGAGTCTATTGCGCACAAACAACGTGACATATAATTTATATATATATATTAAGATTGAAATAACAAACATTACCTAACGATTAGATTTTTGACAATATCCTTTCCAATTACATTGAATTTATTCAGTTTAAAATAATGTCGTGTGTAATAACTGATAAACTTATTTTTTATTAATTTTGACTTAGATCACTTTCATAATTATGAACACAAATAATTCATACCAATTTCTAATACAACTTTAATACATACACATTCAACTAAAAAAAAAAAAAAAATAATAATATCAATGAGATATATGAAGTTGTCAAGTATGAAATGGGATAAAATTGAATTCAATTATGTGCATTTTTTTTTTTACCCCATTTCATACTTGACAACCTAATATATTATATAAAATAAAAAATAATGTTCAAAAAGGATTATAACATACATTAATCGATTAAGGATTATTCTAATGTGTAGAAACAATAACAACAACAGCAACAACAAGTGATTTACATCCCCAACATTCCCCACAATTGGTTGTTACCAAATCATTTTCGAATCATAGTGCATGAAATGTAGTTAGCAATGTAGTATAGTGAGCAGCAACCGTGAGAGTAGGAGTGGGGGGTGAAGTGGGTGGGTAGGTAGGTGGGTACTTACGGGTGGGAGGGAGGGAGGGAGGGAATAGCATCATCGAAAATGTTAGTATTAGTAGATATCTCTCGAGGACATGGATTATTTATCGAATTATGAAGGATCACTTGATAAGGGGTATGGTAAAGGGGTAAAGGGGGTAAGGGTAAGTGGGTGATGGGGGAGACAAGGGGGGAAGACATGCGTGTACGGACTCTGACCTCGATCGATCGCTAGCATAAACGTGTCGTGTCGTATTCGCGATTTCTACTAACCCAACCAACCGATTACTATTACGTGGTTTTCTCATAGTTTCTATTACTAATCCCCCACCATTTTTTTTGTTTCTTTTCTATATTTCTTTTTTCTTTTCTTTTTACAAAACTTTTCGAGGTCGTCATATTTGCCTAATGCTCGTAGTCATTTTTTCTTTTTCTACCTAAGCATGTCTTTATTGTCATGTTATGTATGTGTTTGTAGATACGTGTGTGTTTATGTTTGCGTTAGTGACCTTCCTTTGTAGAAACTTAGAACCCCCCCACTAGTATTCATTTACGACTATAGTCGTCGTATCGTAAGAACTAACTTTCATTATCGTCATTTTTGTATCGATCATATATGTTTGTTTTAAAAATAAATTAATGAATAACAAAAGGAAGAAAGACAAAGGTATATAATTTAGGATGATACGTGATAAAAGGGGTTGTTGTGTTGTTGGTATTTTTATTTTTTTATTATTTTTTATTTTCATTTCTTTTGGTTTATAGTAAAATATGTATTTTTAACTTTTTTAACTTTGTTTTAATAATAATATTATTAATATATAAAATATTAATATATTATATTTATATATAATTAATTTTATATTACATTTTAAATTATATTATTTTATATTTATATATTAAATTATATTATTTTAAAAATTTATAAATTATATTATATATATAATAATATTACTTATATATATATATATATATATATATATATAATAAAANTATATATATATATATATATATATATATATAATAAAATAATAATATATAAATAATATTATAATATAAAAAGAAAAAATACTCAACCATTTTTACGATACACTTTTCGTAGAATTTTACAAAAAAATTTATATTCCCCCGACGTATTTTCGTTCGTCGAGAAATTCTTGGAAAATAAACTTAGAAAAAAAAAATTTGGAAAGAAACGTGACACAGTAGTAGTTGGTAGTTTTGTCAAATATCTTCATTCCACGTGGTCCAATAGTATACTAGAAAGACCTTTTTATCGATGATATACTAGAACGTCAATAGTTCTTGACAACTGGATTGGAAAAACGTGACAAACATAAACGATTTTGATCATCTCTCTGTGTATCATCAATGAAAGAAGAAAAAAAAAAGAGAAATATGAGAAGTGAACCCCTTTTTTTTCGTTTAATTTCTTTAAATGCACATGAAATGCACATGCACATGAAAATGAAATGCACATGCACATGAAATACTCATGCAGATGAAAAATATATTGGGAAACTTGTATACTTAATTCATAAAACTGACTTACACTTTTTCGATGTTTTTATAAAAATATTTCGTACGTAAGAATTATAATTTTTATAAATAATTGTAAATAAATTTTGTTATTTTTAAAATAATTATTTTTTTCTTAGAATGCAACTATAAATAAATTATCTTTATATTGAAATAATAATATATTAGAATGCAACGATAAATAAATGTTTTATATTTTTTTTTTATATTTTGTAATTATAAAATACTTAAAAAAAAAAAAAAGAAAATCATTTACACACACACACAAATATCTAAATTCATTTCTTATTATTTATTTAYCAATTTTCAATTAATAATAGTAGTAGACAATTTGACAAAATGTTTCTGTCAAAGTTTGTTTTAACGAGTAAGCAAAAGAGTATCATCATTGTCTTTAAACAAACTCACAAACCAATCAAGAAGATATTAAATGTTTCTGTGTGTGTGTGTGTGTGTGTGTCATCTCCTTCTGTAAAATAAAATGGAAATTATTTCAAACAAACAATCTAACTTTTATCGTTTATTATTTATTTATACGTAATATCTTTCTCTCTCTCTCTCTCTCTCTCTCTCTCTCCTATATATATATAACAGTTTATGATTTTTAAATAAAAAATAAAAAAATATTATACACGGTTATTGATTTTAATATATATATATATATAAGTATAATTATAACGAATAATAAATATTAACAATTATTATTAGCATTTAAAAAATAAAAATCATTCGTAATACTAATCCATATTCATTTTCTTGACATCAACACACGCAACGTGCTTGTTAGTTTTTTTTTTTTTTTTTTTTTTTAAGAAAGAAAGAAAAATAAGGTACAATTAAATTTAATGACACACATGGTGTGATAAATGATATCAAATTAAAAACAAATTTCATAAGGTACAATACAATAATATATCAATCACACACTTGAAAACACACTTTCTACCTTATCTCATTTTTGTTTATTTCCTTTCTTTTGATTTTTTTCTTTTTTTTTTTCAAGTGGCACTCAAGTTTTAATAAAAAAAAAAAAAAAATAGAAATCGCAAATTTGATTCAATCGTAAAATTAATCTAAATGTTTGTTATGTTCATTTCAATTGAAACTCGACGTTGAATGAGATTGAATTGAAATTTATCTCTTTCATCGTTTGAAAAATATGATTAAAAGATAAAGATAAAAATAAAAAAAAAAAAATAAAAAACGTAATATATTTATGTAAGCAAATGATGTTAAATCAAGCAAAAGTAAGAAGAATAATATTAGAAGTTTAGAGAATGTTGAGAAGAAGGTAAATCCTGATCTGGTCTCATCTAAGGGAGTATCTTTTTTCCGCACGAATAAGTACGAAGGAAATCAAGTCTCATGGAAAGGGCCGCGTGTTGTGAATGGTAACAATGTGTCCAAGATCCGATATGATGGATTTTAGTAATCGTATCCTGTGCCAACCCATCCTGTACCAAAGACTTCATTAAGAATTGGCACAGATTTTCTATGAATAACAAATATCCTTTTTTATATTTATTATCAAATTTATATAATATATTTATTGTGTTGCATTTCAATTGAAATCTAAATATAATTTTAATCAATTTAAATATATAATAAATATAATTAATTAATTATATAAATTGTATAAATTAAATTATTATAATTAAAAAAAAATAAAAGAAAATAAAATTATATAACATTTTGTTAACATTTCCATCGAAATACAAATATAATTTTAAGAAGATACAAAATTATAAATTATAAATTAATAATTATTTATTATATTTAAATATTGAAATTTATTTATTAAATATAAAAAAATTTAATTTAAATAAATTAAGAATAATAATACTATATACTTTTTGTTTGCATTTCACACTAAACTTAGTCTTTTTTTTTTTTAATAATTTTGTATTATATCTTAATATATATAAATTACGTGTCACGTTTGTTTGTCCGCAATGGACTCCTAAACTATTGAACCAATTTAAATAAAATTTTACACACTCTGTGCAATTTCATCCAACTTAAAAGATAGGATAGTTTATATCTTCTTAATATATATAAATTACGTGTCACGTTTGTTTGTCCGCAATGGACTCCTAAACTACTGAACCAATTTAAATAAAATTTTGCACACTCTGTGCAATTTCATCCAACTTAAAAGATAGAATAGTTTATATCTCAATTTATAATTGCAATTGACTTAAAGACGTATGTATCGGACTGATTGTGAGCTTCAGCAACGCCTGGCTGGATACTCCTAGTTAAATTATAAACTTAATGCATAATTTGTACACTTGGTTGTATTAAACTAATCATCTATTTTCTCTCTATCTATGGGAAAATAGATCTAAAGTTAGAAATTCATAGGAGTTCATTGAACTGTGGTGGCTCACTAGAGAGATGCAAAAAGCTTGTTATAATTATGAGTACGAAATTGGACCTTGACGTAGTAGTAGCATTTCGTTTTAAATATCAACTCTAAATGTAATGTCGTTTTAATTAATTCTCAGAATATTATTAACTAATTTTGCCATGTTGTTTCCTCTTTTCAATCTTCAATCCCTCTTTTCCTCCATTTCTTACTTCTTCTTCTTCTTCTTCTTCTTCTTCTTCTTCATCTTCATCTTCATCTTTTTTGTCACACTTTTCACAAATGATTCATTAATTATTCATCGTGTAAAATTGTTCTTTGATTTTCATCTTAATTTATAAGATTATTGTCTCAAATCAAATTGTCTTCAAAATCATCAAGATTCGTTAAAAATCAAAATGAAATTTAATTAGAAAACTTTTCTCGAAACTTAACGATATTTATTTGAATATTATTACAAATGTAAATTAATACTGAATTTAAAAAAAACAAAAAAATGGTGTTGAATTTTATAAAACGCGATATGGCACGAATTAACAACCTTCATTTTAATTCCTCGTGTATTTTTTTTTTTAATTCATTTCTTTTTTTTTCCTTGTGTACTCGGAATAATTAATTTCGTATATAATTATCGAATAGATCAATCTTATTTTTTTTTTTTTATATATATTATCTTTGAAATAATTCATTGTCAAATAATTGAAATTATTTTACGCGAAACTTATTCTTATTTATATATATATATATATATAATTTTATTATTATATATAAAATTATAATATATAAAATAATATAATAATATATAAATAAATATAAATATATAATATAATTTATAATAATAAAATATATTTTATAATAATAAAAATAATAATATAATATATATTATAAATAAAAATATAAAAATAAAATAATAAAATAATATATAAAATATTATTATATATAAAAACTATATAAATAATTTTTATAATAGAAAATATCATTGTGTGTTATCGTAAATTATTTCTTTAAAATAGAAAAATATTAATAACAT